AACCATTTAATTCACCATATTTCGAAAATCCTAAAATTGAAATTAGAAATTATACCAAATAAAATTGAGAACAAAATATAAAATGCAGAATATTGGGATTGAATATTATAGTAGTACTTTATTTATTTATTTATTTATTTTTCAGAACGATTGAGATGTTATATAACTAAAATCCGCACAAAGTGCTAATAGAAAGCTGACAAAAGTTGAAAAATACAACCAAATGCTGAATAAGACTGAGAGGACATATCCGAGGATCGTCTAAAGCCTAAGCTAGCAACCTGTGACGGATCTAGAAATTTGACTCAGGGGGCCCAATTTTAAATATTATAATGTGCTTGTACTTTAAGTCAGAACGCTTATTTTATATATAAATATATTTAATATAAATATGAAAATCGATATATGTACTATCAAGTTTTTACAAACTTAGAATCCATATCACCGTCAAACTTAAAAAATGAGATTTCATGTATTTATAATTTAAGTTAACCATCTATAATTTATGGAAAAATAAATTTTTTTGTTTCAATATTGATTTAAATTGAAATTTTATAGCACATTGCATAGCATTTTCGTTGATGAAAGCTTTGTAAATGAACATTTTTTAAGAAGAAAATATATAAATTTAAAAAAAAATAATAAAAAATCAATATTTAAAAATATAACAATCCAACTACATACTTGGTTTTATAAATCACTAAATCGATTTACAATTAAGAGACCAAAAGAATTAATTATTACTAATATTTTCAAAATTTATTTAGAAATGTAAAATATAAAGTTTTTAGTACATTTAATAATAAATAAATAGTATTATTAATTTAAATTAAAGTAGCATGGAAAATAAATTTTAATGATTAATATACAAAAATATTTTTTTATATTTTTTATATTTTATAGTATTTTCTTTATATAATTAATTCTTTTTTATATATGTATTCAATTTTTTCAAAAAATCAGGGGGCCCACGGGCCCCTGGCCCCAATACAAATCCGTCTATGCTAGCAATGTGGAAAACAAACTCGCAACTATCCAAACACAACGAAAAAACTACGAAAAAGATCCCAACAAAGTATCTTATTATAAGTTTCAGCTGGCAATTTTCAAACATTTTTTTTAATAAGAAGAATTTGTTGGGATCATTTGTTTTAAGAAGAATTTTTTAAACAAATTTTTAAGTTATTAACAATACAACATAAAAAAAAAAATATAAGAAGAATTTATGAATTTATGTTTTAATTAATTGAATAGAAGCTAATAAAAATAATTTTAAAAACATAGCACAAACATAACAATAATATATAAATTTATAATTAATATTTGTAAATATCAATTACAAAATGAAGTAAATAACATAGATAAATTATGTTAGATATTAAGAAGCTAATATAAATTTTTGTGTCAGTTCTAATGGTTAGGCGAGTCAGTTTATGTGAACAAAAATATTATTAAATGTCATACTTTTGTTTACGTAACTTTCAAAGTTTGATGCTTTCTAATGAAAAATTGTCCATCTAATGATTATGCAGATTTAACAAATGACCTACGATCATGTTTCCAAATAATTTCATGAGCATTATATAGGAAAAAAATATTTATTTATTTATTTATTTTTATTATAAGATTACCCCAAATTTCTATATAAATACCAATAATAAAATAAAATAAACAATTTTTTCATCAATAAAAGACCACAGATCGGAAAAAATTTGTGGGCCCGCGTTACTTTTTCGCACCGTGCCGTAATATGTGGGATTTTTGGTCGGAAAAAACGTCTTTAAGATAATTGCGCTCAAGTTGCTCTCTATTTTCACGTACTACACAGCTTCACGGCTCATATTTCCGGCGAGGTCTCCGATCAGGTAACTCTGTCTACCAACCTCATCTGTTTTCTCTTGAAGCTAACTATTGTGGTTCATATGTTTTTTAGTTATAGTCCGATTGATGCTCTGAATGTCTTAGATTTCGTCATTTCTAGGGTTTTGCCAGAACCCATTTGGGGTTTTATTTAGTTCATCCCAAATTTTGTGTTTAATTGCTCTGTACTATTGGAAATGTAACGAGAAAAGTTGGGTATGAGCTGATTTATACGAGGAATTCCCGAGTATCTGATTCAAAATCTGAACTTCCCTGGGAATTTTATACATGATAACTGGTACCATCCCAATTTGATAGTCTAGTTTTGAATTATAATGAATAAATCCAGTTTAGTTTACCTGGATCTCTGATATATCGATGGATTTCAAATCCTTATCTCCTATTTTGAGTCGATTTTTATTTTTTTTGGGTCGACTCTTTGCTGTGGAATTCAAAAGCTTACTTTGAAATCGTTTCAACAAATCTTCTCATCAAATGGCGAAACTCAAATCTTTACATACAATGCAAACTACGTGTTTCCCGGTCTCTAATAACAAAGCACATCTAAAGCTTTGCCAGTTAATGGAATGAGAAATGGGGTAAAAGAATTATCTTATTAGTTTAAATGAGAAATGCACTGATGTTAGCATCATGGAAATTTCATGTCTGTTTATTGCACATTCCTGTTATTCTAGGCATCTGATACTAATAATCCGTATTTCTTAAAAGTTTATTTTGCAATGAATGCCAGATTGTTTAATGTCTACATAGGGTTGGCTCTTGATGTCTAAAACGTGTCGCCATTAAAATTTTGTATCCTGACGACGCTTAATTGTTACTTACTATTACTCACGTATATTTGACATCACCCTTCTCTAACCAGTGCCTCATATGAACCTTCTCTTGTTTGCAGTTAATGCCGCAGCATCTTCCTGAAACCCTCCAATAGTAACTCAGTAAAACTTCATTTTCTCTTGGTAAAATAATTAAGGAAAAAAAAAATTAAAAGAAATAGGTCGATATGCAACACAGTGGTGCAAGAGATACCCAACTTCGTGAGAACAGCAACCAGAAGGTCCATCCTCAGCCAATGGACGATTCCACCAACCAAACCCCCGAGGCTATGGAAGCCCTCGTATCCAGAATCTTCACAAACATATCCTCCCTAAAATCGGCTTATATCCAACTCCAAGCAGCTCACACCCCTTACGACCCGGACAAGATCCAGGCAGCTGACCGCCTCGTCATATCCGAGCTCAAAAACCTTTCCGAACTTAAGCACTTCTACCGTGAGAACAACCCGAAGCCCGTCTGTACCTCCCCTCAAGATTCCCGGCTGGCGGCCGAGATTCAGGAACAACAGAGCCTCCTCAAGACGTACGAGGTCATGGTGAAGAAATTCCAGTCCGAGATTCAGAACAAGGACTCTGAGATTCTCCAGCTGGAGCAGCAGATCCAGGAGGCCAACCAAAAGCGGGTGAAGCTTGAGAAGAATCTAAAGCTCAGGGGTCTGTCGGGAAAGGAACCGGGAGGCAGCAGGGGGGGCGAAACTGTAATTTCGCCCGAACTTTTCAGGTCGGCAGCTGAGGCCGCCTCGCGGGCCATCCACGACTTCTCCAAGCCGCTGATCAACATGATGAAGGCCGCCGGATGGGACCTCGACTCAGCGGCCGCCTCAATCGAGCCGGACGTGGTCTACGCGAAGCGGGCCCACAAGAAGTATGCATTCGAGTCCCACATCTGCCAGAGGATGTTCGTCGGATTTCAGGACGAGAATTACTCCATGAATCCTGAAGAAGATTCGATTTCTGTGCCCACCACTAAGGAGAATCTGTTCAAAGAGTATCTCGAGCTGAGGGAAATGGACCCGCTGGACGCGGTGGGCCAAGGCCCGGACTCGATGTTTGGTAAATTCTGCCGAAGCAAATACCTCTTGGTGGTTCACCAGAAAATGGAGGCCTCGTTTTTTGGGAACTTGGACCAGAGGACCTATATTGTGGGTGGCGGGCACCCAAGGACTGCTTTCTACCAGGCTTTTCTGAAGCTGGCAAAAGCGGTTTGGCTTCTGCACAGGCTGGCGCACGCGTTTGATCCGGCGGTCAGGATTTTCCAGGTGAGGCGTGAAAGTGAGTTCTCGGAGGTTTATATGGAGAGCGTCGTGAAGGATTATGTGGTGGCTGAAGGTGAGAATGAGAAGCCTAAGGTGGGTTTGATGGTCATGCCGGGGTTTTGGATGGATGGTGGTGTGGTCCAAGCGCAGGTTTATCTTACGGGTATCAGGGTGGCTGAATGAGTGTAACTCAGTTCGAGTCGTGTGTGTTGTGTGTGTGTGTGTGTGTGTGTGTTGATGTCAGAAAAGAGCATGAGAAAAATGCCTCTTACTCGGGAAGCACTCGGAGGATGAGGGATTAGGCAGTATCCAACTGATCCCAGGTTTCATCCTTTTTTACAGGCATTAAGTGGCTGAATAAGTAGTTCGATGTGTGTGTGATTCTCTGAGTGTGTGTGTGATGGAATTTTGTGTTTATATTTTTATTTTTATTTTGTGAAAGCAATCACGAGCTGGGGGGATGGGCAGGATCCCCGGCCTGTACATTGCTTGGATCAAAATTTATATTTATGTTATGTCATCGATGCATTCGTGTTTTAGTACTGCAAAGCACTCTTCGTGTTTTAATACCCAAAAGACACCCTCTGAACCTAGCAATGGTACCCTAAAAAACTTCAAGTGAGGATTAACTGGTGGCTCACTAGTCCAACATTCAGGAACCACCTCTTGTTATGTTCTTTGTTTCATAGACTTCAATAACCATCAGTTAAGTTGAAGGCTTGAAGCTTTGAGTTCGTATTCTACATCAATAAAACTCTATTTTTCTAACTTTTTTTTTTTTTGGACTGGAAAAAATATTAAACCCCTTAATTAGTTTCGAGTTGGTATCTAACATTGATTTGAGCTTTAACATTGTGGTTCTTATGACTCAACTGAACACCACAGAGAACACCACACTTTGTTCAGTATGAAATAGGTCCCCTGTTTTCACTTCAGCTATCAGAATTATCGGCACCAAGGCACAAAAGTGATTCATAAGGTCGACAAATTGTTCGCAGCAGCTAAAAGTGATAAATTGTTTTAATATATTGACTTACAAAATCATCGACACAACCAACCGACTTCAATGGAACAGTCAAAAGCACAAGGCGCTTGGAGTAATAAGATCACTAACACGAACACAATCTACCGCAAATCCAAACCCATCACATTCCAAAACAAACTCGCCCCATCGCGTGGATTATATAGCTAACCAACCCGAAAAAGTAGATTGCCAGAAGAATATTGCCATTTTTCCTGAGACCCAACACTCGAATAGAATTCGAGCACCCGACAAAAGTATACTTCTCGTAAAATGACTGTCCGAGAGTATACATCCTCTCCCACGACTCCTTCACCCCATACTCTCTCATACCCCAAATCACAATCTGCAAACGATTGTCCACCACAAGCGACAGGCTTCCTCCTAAAACTGCAATGTTGAGCCAATTTCACCTAGACAGCGGGCGGGCCGAGTTTTTAACCATCATGGGCAAATCCATCTCGACCTCCCGGAAAAAATTGTCCGCCAAGTCGAAAGAAACAATGCCCCACTTATTGTCCCTCAACCAGTGCAGCCTCCCGCCCGCCAAAACCCCTCCAAGGAATGTTTCTCCAAACCTATGAACCGGCACATTCTCGGCCCTTTTCCATGTGTTACTCTTTAAAGTATACACAGACGCATTCGTTTTCTCCAAACCTATGAACCGGCACATTCTCGTACCCGAACCCAAACACGGATTCGTAGGATTCATCTCGACAATCCACCTTACTGATCAGATGATTGTTTGGCAGCAATTTGAAGGTCTTTGTAAAGGGATTGTAAAGGTAGATTCTTGGGCGGGGATAGGACGAATCGGCTATAAGCACAGAAGGCCGTTGCAAGAGCCGACTATCCAAAAGCCGCTGGGGCTGCAATCATCGGAAAAGGGCAAATCGGTCTCTCGAAATCTGCGGTCCGCCTTATTGCCTTCTTCCTCGCCGGCATCATCGTAAAGTTCGATGAAGAATACGGAAGAGTGGATACGGCCAACGCCCATAAAAAACCATGTCCGATTAAGAGCGAATTTGCAGGAAATGAGCATATCGAGGAGAGACGGGTCGCCGTGAATCGAGTTCCACGCCGGGCAGACGGCTCTGGATTGAGCCACAGTCTTCAATGGCAGTCGAGATAGAATATCGGCCTTGATCTCTTGTGGTAGGGAGCTTAAGAAATCTTCGAATTTGGCTGATTTCTCTGCGTTAGTTTCATTGTCCGCCATTTTTGTTTTTTCTTTTTCTTCAAGTAGAGAGGGTGGCGATTTGGCCCTCAGAGGGGGAGAAAGGGTTCACTATTGGTATTTGTCAACCCAAATTACTATTTGTGGTAAAAAAAAAAGAATAGTAAATTTACAAAAATATTTCTATGGTAAATAAAAATACTGTCAGAAAAAGTATTCAAATGTTTAACAACAAAGCTCGAAAAAGGTCCAAGAGCTAAGCTTGAAATTCAAAAAAAGCCTCACGTAGAAGCTCGCTGTGAAAACAAACTCCAAGAGCTAAACTTGGAAGCCAAACAAACGTCCAAATGAGAACCCGACACTGAAGTTAAACGTCTAAATGATAAGGAGCAACACATTTAAAACTCTTAAAATTGAAGGTTATCATACAGTTATACGTCACAGGGGGAAGCTTAAGGCCCTACGAAACGTCCCAGAGTTAAACTTTGAAGCTAAAAAACGTCCTACTGTGAAGCCCGACTGCGAAGAGGAACGTTCACAAAAAAAGCTTGCATTGGTCATAAACATTCAAAAGCAAAGCTTGTCAATGGCAAAGGGGGAACACATTTTGAACTTTTGAAATTCAAGCTTATCATACAATCAAACGTCCCAAAAGGAAGCTTATGGCAACAACAAACTTCCTTAGGTAAGGCTTAATGTATCCAGAAACGTCCAACGTGAAAGCTTCCTCAATAATTTGATTTCTTCCACATATCACTCAAACTACTTTCTCACATATCTCAAAATAATCAACCTGGTATTTGGCCGTTGCAGCCCGCTAATCAGGGTCGTTGAAAGCTTTTGATTGTTGGAGATCTAACTATCAACCTTTTTTATTTATTTATTTTTTTTAAATTCGATTCCAAAAAAATCCTAAAATTATATGCTTGGTTTTTAATAATGTAATTATGCACCTGATTTGTGTATTCGTAGATCCAATCTCTTCATGTATCGAAATAAAAAAAAAAAGTATCAAATGAGCCAATAGATGTGTTAAGCCATTGTTTCAAGGAGGCGTGCGCGCATTCCACTCTACAAGTTGTTGTGTTCCTAAAGTGTTGTACTTGGTTTGTCCAGAGACGAACAAACTTCTCCTTGTATGGATCTAACTATGTGGACTCGACAAAATTTTTGGATAAGGACGCAATTTTTCTCTCATGTCCGCGAAGGCTTTTTCGTACTTCTCCACGGTGTCGGCTTGCCATAGTCTCCATGTGTCACTTTTAAAGCACGCGGCGTAATCCCGACTATTTGCTTTTTTATTACCACCTAATTTTATGTACACTTGATTTCCACATCCTTGTTGATGTGGAAAGAACAAAAAAAGTGGGGAGTCTGAGGGAATTGTTCCTTAATGGGAGCCATCAACCCCATCTCTCTGTCAGTCAAAATGATTGTGGTCTCAACATCATTCCCAATCAAAATTCGTAAGTTCTTCAACACCCATCGATAATTATTAGCTGACTCATCCTTCATAATTGCATATGCAATATTTTATTAAAAGGAGTCATGCCAATAATTTGGAACAAAGGCATCTCGTACTTGTTTATCTTGTACGTGGAGTCCATGCTAATGACCCAAGGGTATGCTCCAAGTGTCTTTTTCGACTCTGGATGGACCAAGAACACATGAGTTAGTTTCTTTGTATCATCATGATTTTTAATTGATTGAATTTCATATTCGTTGTCCTTAGACAACTTGTAGAACTGTTGTATCATACTCCTTTTCCCAAATGAGGCCCTTTGGAGCTTTGTCTTGTAGTTGTAAATTTATCTGACGTGACAGTTGTCCTCGGGAAATGATTGTTCAACAGCCACCAATATGTTTTGCGGCTTTGTTTGAGAAAGAACCATCGACCGAATAAGTTTTTTTTGCTCCAACACTAAGACAACTCATTTGTCGATGTCCCTCTGCATATTCGGCGGGCTCATGATTGTGTCTACGCTCATCACATTTCATAATCCAATTATGGAACTCCAAATTTGGATTCAAGTTTTTCAATAATACCGTGAACTCACAACGACAAACAATGGTCTTTGTGTTATTTCTCTGTCATGGCTTTGGAGTCCCTTCATCTTCCGGTTTCTTTCTGTTGGCCTACATCTAAGCCTCACACTGGTTGGTAAATTCTTTAAAGTTATTTTCAGCTCATACTCTGAGTATATGGTAAGAAAGTAGCAATAATGCAGAGCTTCACTATAACTCTCATGTATTTGTCCCTCTTTAAAATAATCCGTAAAATCTTCAAATTCATCCTGTAAATAGTTAAAGTTTTATTACCACATCACATAAAAAGTAACTATTAATATTAATAATAAATCATACAGGTGATAAACAAATAAAACTATTTTGATTCAAACGTTTGAACTACATATAAGTTTTAGGTTTAGACGTTTTAGAGGCTTACAAGCTTTCAATATTTATGTTTCTTAAGTGTCGCCCCTTACAAACTGGACGTTTGAACTGTATGTAAGCTTTAGGTTTAGAAGTTTCAGAGGCTTCCAAGCTTTGAGTATTTAAGGGCTTGATTGTTTATGAAATAATTTGTTCAAAATGAGTTATTTTGTTTAATCATAGTTAATTTTAAAAAAGGTTGTATGGTAAGTTGTTAGTGAAATTTTAAGAATGTATTAAAATAATATTTAAAATAAAATAATTAAAATTGATTTGCTGAAAAAGTAAGAGATAAATGATTGAAACTGATTGAAAATGATAGATAGTTAAAATTATGTGAGTGGATGAATAGTAAATTAAAGTTGATGTGATGTGTAAAAATGATTGGTATTATTTAATTATATGAATAATATTAAAGATAGTGAGGTTGAGTTAGATTTTGAGTTGAAATAAAAGTGAGTGAATGAATTCATATACAATCAAGCCTTAAAGTTTTAAGTGTTGCCCCTTACCAACAGTACGTTTTTCTTCACAGTCGGGCTTTCAAATCAGACGTTTTTTGGGTCATGTAGCTTAACAATAAAACATTTACCCTTATGTAAGTTTAGCTATCAAACGTTTAGTCCACGTTCTAGCTTTTATCTGGGACGTTTACCAACAAACTTAAACCCTAACATACCCAACATCTATTATCACTTTATTCATTCTTCTATACTAATCAACCATCACATTGGTTCAATGCAACATATATGAAAAGGGTTTAATGATCTAAGTCCTAAAATAACTCAAAGCACTCAAAAAATAAGAGATCCATTTGTGAGTTAAAATCGTTGTAAAAAAAATAAGGATTAACACAATTTACCTTGTTTGCATGTGTTACCGATGATGTTAGATTACTATACATATGATTAATAAAAAATAATGTAGAGACTGGTGAGTTAATTTTTAATTAAAAGGAAAAAGGAGATTGATGAAAATGTAGATTTTAGTAAAAGTGAAGAAGGAGATTGGTGAAGGTGTGGATTTTGGTAAAGTGGGTCAAAGTAACTTAGAGGCAACAACTAGCAATTTGGATAAAAATAGTAATTTGGGTGAAAGTAAGCAAAATATTTTTATTAGGACAAAAATGTAATTTCAATTATTATTAAATTACTTTTTGGGCTACAAGTAGTAATTTGGGGCGACAAATAGAAACACCTAATATTTAGAGGGTGCAAATGATATATTTATGAGAAATAGTTATTTTGACCGGCTTTAAAGATGGAATAAGTTTTTACACACCACCAAACAATTAGCTAGTTTTGTCACCCGATAAAAACTACGCGACAGACAAGCGAACATATTTCTAAAGTGCGAAGTAAATATGCGATAGGCTATGCAAATTAAAGACGAAGATAAATAATAAAGTACGAAACAATTATGCATTTACTAAGCAACAAACATGCGAACATAATTGATAAAGTGCGAAATAATTATGCAAGAAACTATGCGACACGCCGAAAATAATTGATAATGTGTGAAAGAGTTATGTGATAGAGTATACAACCGCAGATGAAGATAATTGATAAAGTGCGAAATAATTAGGTGATATATTATGCAAAAAACATACGATGATAATTGATAAAGTGTGAAATATTTATGTGTTTAAAAATTCATAATTACTCTTCTAACAAAAAAACATTCCACTACGATTACACTCTTCCTAGTATTCCAAAATTCCACAATTGATACCAAACATTAAACCAAAAAATCAAAAAAGAATAAACAATTCTCATTTACCAAACTTATGCTTCATTCTCACAAGGTATGCTCTTTCTCCTTTTTCTTTCTTCCTCTCTGTTTTTTTTTTTTTTTTTTCAAGTAAAGTTGCTGCTACATGGGACGGTTGGCGACTTTGACACATCCGATGGCTGTGCTTGACTGAAGGTACGAACAGCAGCAACCGGGCCTTGGACTGCACGACTATGAATGGTTTTGGCCAACCGCTCACCGACAACGGTACATAGGTCTGCAACACTGAGAAGCGAATCTTCACAACTGGAATTGGGGAGTAGCGGCGGGGCAAGAGTTTGGATTGAGGAACACTATCCGGCCGTGGGCGGCCCTTGCAAAGTCCCAACAACCTGTTTGGCCCGATTTGTGTCTGACTCAGACTGAGCAGGGGTTTGAATTTAACGGCGGCTTGATTTCGATTCAAATCAAGTAGAGTAGGGGTGATGGGATGAAGGCCATAGTTGGGGATTTAGTTCTACAGAAGCTATGTAATTTGGTTGTGTTTGATTAAATTATGCCGACTGGAGAAGAAAGTTATAGCATCAAATATGCCATTCAATATTCAAGATACCCATTTTGATGCAAACAAGATCCCCTGTTTTCACTTAAGCTATCGGAATTATCGTCCACAAATTGTTCACAGCAGCTACGTGACAGGCTACACAAACAATCATGTTTCAACTATAATACGACGAACAACTAAGAATTGCTCAAATGACGCGAGATAAAAGAGATAAATTGTTCCAATATTCATGTTTCAACGATAATAAAACGAACAACTTAGAATTGCGCAATTAACGCGAGATAAAAGTGATAGATTGTTCTAATATACTGACTTACGAAATCATCGACACAACCAACCAACTTCAATGGAACAATCAAAAGCACAAGGCGCTCGGAGTAATAAGATCACTAACACGAACACAATCTTCCGCAAACATATCACAATCCAAAATAAACTCAACCGCCCCATCGCGTGGATTATAGCTAACCAACCCGTAAAATTGGATTGCCAGAAGAATATCTCCATTTTTCCTAAGACCCAACACACGAACAGAATTCGCGCCCCCGACAAAAGAATACTCCTCGTAAAACGAGTGTCCGAGAGTATACATCCTCTCCCACGACTCCTTCACCCCATATTCTCTCATGCCCCAAATAACAATCTGGCAGCTATCGTCCACCACAAGCGACAGGTATCCCCCTAAAACTGCAATGTGGCGCCAACGCCCCGAGTTTTTAACCATCAAGGGCAAATCCATCTCGACCTCCCGGAAAAAATTGTCAGCCAAGTCGAACGAAACAATGCCTAACTTATCGTCCCTAAGCCAGTGCAGCCTCCCGCCCGCCAAAACCCCTCCCATGAATCTTGTCCCAAACCTATGAACCGGCACATTCTTGGCCCTTGTCCATGTGTTACTCTTGAAAGTATACACATACGCAGTCGTTTTCTCCTCCTGTTCAGAAATTTTCATATAATCCACACTCACCACAGTATAGTCCCGGGCGGACGGATTGTACCCGAACCCAAACACGGATTTGTAGGATTCATCTCGACAATCCACCTTACTGATCAAATAATTCTTTGGCAGCAATTTGAAGGCCTTTGTAAAGGGATTGTAAAGGTAGATTCTTGGGCGGGGATAGGACGATTGGGCTAAGCACAGAAGGCCGTTGCAAGAGCCGACTATCCAAAAGCGGCTGGGGCTGCAATCATCGGAAAAGGGCAGATCGATCATCCGAATCTTGTGGTCCGCCTTATCGTTTTCTTCCTGGCCGGCATCGTCGGAAAGTTCGATGAAGTGTACGGAAGTGTGGATGTCGCCAAAGCCCAGAAAAACCCATGTCCGATTAAGAGCGAAGTTGCAGGAAATAAACATATTGAGGAGAGACGGGTCGCCGTGAGTCAAGTTCCACGCCCGACAAACGGCTCTGGATTGAGCCACCGACTTCAAGGGCATTCGAGATAGAATCTCGATCTTCATCTCTTCTGGCAGGGGGCCTAAGAAATATTCGAATTTGGCTAATTTCTCTGGGTTGGTTTCATTATCCGCCATTTTTGTTTGTTCCTTCTCTTGAAGTAGAGTGGGGAGGGTTGTGAGGAAGAAGGGGTGTACGACGGCTAATATTTTATAGGTTGTAAATGATATTTATAGTTTTATTTTCATTTTAGGTCAAAAAAAAAATGAGGGATTGAGTATAGAGGTGGCAAGTCAACGGGCCTGGCCCGGCCCGTCGCGGGCCTCCAACACATGGCCCGTGACCGGCCCGCTAAGAACCAAGGGCTGGTTCACCGACCCGGCGGTTCACGGGCTGATTCACGAGTTGAGACGGTCCTTAAAAAATAAAATTTAACAATGTGGCCCGCCGTCCAACTCGGCCCAGTGGGACTAAAATACAAAAAATTAGAACCGGGACCTAAGCGTGACCTTACAGGTCCAGTTCAACGAACCGGCCCTTAGGATGTCGGTTCGAGCCGGTGTCGGTTCGCGGGCTGGTTCACGGGCCGGTTCGGCCCGTGGACATGTCTAATTGAGGATACTTGTTCCATCCTAGAATAGGATTCGGAAGCTCGATTCATGAATGTTCAAATCAAATCGAGTTATGTTTGAGAGTTTGTCAATAATATTTTTTTTTTCATAAATCTATATCTATGTTTATATAAAAGGTTGTTGGAACAGATTTTAAGTTTGACAAAAAGAAAATATAATATTTGACTTACTATTAGTTGTAAATTTGAAAAAACGTGAATCTTTAGCAACAAAATCTAAATCATATTTTTTTATAACAAAATTGTAGATTTTATGCCAAAATCTGAATCACACTTTTTTCGTATCATTTTATATTTGTTTTACCAAAGTCTGAATCCTATTTTTTTGGTAACGAATTTGGAGATTCTTATGAAAAAATGTGTCAATTTTATATGAAAACATATTCAAATACAAATTAATTTAAAAACTGTGCAAACTAGAAAAAATTAGGAAACAAATAATTGTAAAATTCTTAACAAATTCGTCTAATCTTTTTGAATAATTTTTTTCTTTCAAAAAATATGTACAAACTGGATAATATCGCGTGCAATTTTTTATTTAAAACAAAATTGAGATTTAGACAGGATATACACTCAAAATCGTATCCATCTTTTTTGGTAACAAAAATCGATTCATCTTTGATATTTAAAGTCAAACCTTATCCAATTCTTTGGGGAAAAATTCAAATCAATTTTAAGATTGTGTGCAACTTTTCAAAATTTAGATGCAATGATTTTTGAAAATATATAGAATGTCACTTTATTTTATGTAAAGTGTTACTTTCATATTAGTCGTTTTATTAATGTCATAAGAGTCATAAGAGTTGTCAATTATAAAAGACAACTTTAGCTGTATTTAGGTTAGTATATATATAGGATCCTTGTACTTGGTTTGAACACTTTTTCTCATAATATTCAATTCAGTATTTTTCCTTTCTCTCTCTACTCTCTCTCTCTCTTTTCGTATTCTCTGGTTTTGTTTATCACAAACCCTAGATCTACATAGCTTGATATGGTATCAGTCGTCTAATCGATCCAAATTCCGCTGCACTATCTCTTAAATCTGTTGATGCCAATGGCAAATCCGACCGACGATCCATCATCGCCGTATTTTTTACACGCCAGCGACAACCCTGGCGCCCTCGTCGTTGTTGAGCCCTTCAATGGCGAGAATTATGTCTCCTGGAGTCGCGCTGTTCTCATGGCGTTCAGCGTGAAGAACAAGGCCGGATTCATTGACGGATCTATTGCTACTCCTTCTCCAACCGGTAACCCTGTTCTTTACACATCTTGGTTGCATGCGAATAATCTCGTCCTTTCCTGGCTTTTGAATTCTGTTAACAAAGAAATTCGCCAGTCGCTGTTGTTTTTTAATTCTGCTCAATGTTGTAGCACAAATTGTTATTTTTACCGAGTACCGAATCGATATCACGAGGAAGGCGGTTCGAAATTTAGAAATGATATTATAACACATAAAAACAAAAGAAATCCTAATCACACTAATCAAATAGGGGGAATCAATTACCAACTAAGAAATAAATAACAATGCAAAAATGTAAATCTACCTAAGAATATGAATGGAACGAAGATGGAGAAGCTAGGGAATCGGGGATGATTAATTCAAGTTCTAGCAAAGTCGGGCAATCAATTGTTCGGTTCGAGATTGAAACTCTCGCTTAAACATCTAGCGGTTCGCTCCCAATAACTCTTCGTAACAATGGATTGAACATAGACGAACAAGTTCGAGCATACGACGCAGACCAATTATCCTAATCCCAATAACTTTTCTTAACAAGGGACGGGTCATTGACAAGTGCGTATTTCAATCTAAAACACGTAGATTAG